TAAAAAACTTAGTGTTGTAGTACCACAAAGCTGAAGCATTAGTCAGACATTCCTGTTGGGAGAACTGACAGGAAATATGTGATTTACAGTCTTGGGTATGTCTGCAGCTTGAAAGAAAGGAAAAAGAGTAATTTGCTGTTTGTGTGCTTCTGGGCCTGGATTAATTTACAGAGGTATTTGACCTGCAAACTGACCAGTGAGCAAAATTACCTGATGTGTAGTAGCTTTGAATTGCATGGCATTGAGCAGATGTTCTGGTTGCAGTGTCTCTTGAGGTTTTTACCTTGTATTTTTGCTATCTGAACATTGAATACTTTGTACTTTGAGTTTGGGTAACCTTTCAGATGCCCGTCGTGACTGGAACTTGGGTGAGAGGTGTCTCCAAGATGGTTTATCTGTCACATCAGGTGTGTGGCTTTTTCAGCTGCAGTAATTTCTAGGTCCCCCAGTTGTTCTCAGCTGATGTCACAGATGGAAAAGGGAGTGAGGAGCACAATCATGCCTGGAGTAGAAATGTTGGACTGGGATTGCTGGTGGAAAAGATTTGTTGGTCTTATTATTATTATTATTATGAATTATTTCCCAGAAAGGGCTAAGCTGGGAGGAGCTCCCACTGCTGTAGCACTGAGCTGTCTCAGCTCTTGGCTCAGGAACTTGCAAGTGGGTTAATGCAGAAATAGAGCACAGAAGTGAAACCAGCTTGGGTTTCTGTTTGAAAACACTGCCCAGCTCTGTTCATGCTCAGCAATAACAGGGTCAGACGAGCAGGAGTGTCCCAACAGAGGTGTGAAGGGAGATTAAATCCACAGGGCTTTGTGATAAATGGGACCAAATTCCTGCTGACTGCAAGGCCAGGAGCTTTAAATGAGTCTTTTACTTCCTTTCAAGTGGAATGGCCTTGGGATGGGAAGAGCTGCAGGTTTGTGTAAGCCCTCCTGGAAGATAGAATATAGGTTAAGTCTCAGGTAACTGGCAATGGAGAGCTGTCCATTGCCACACTTGGGAAATAAAGCCTGTGGATTTCTGTAGGTGTATGTATCAAAAGCATGTGTAAAAATATTTCAGAAATGCAGAATAACTGCAGCAACTCAGCCGAGTGCTGGTGTCTGTTGAAAAGAGCAAACTCCAGTGAAGCGTTCCTGGTTCTGCTGGAGCTGGAAAGGCTCTGGATGTGTGTCCTGGTGCAGAAGAGCTCATGGTCAGGTGCCAGTGCTGTTCTGGGGGGCTGCAGGTGGGATTTGGTGCCCAGGGCTGTGCAGGAGCAGCTCTCTGCTCCCAGCTTTGTGTGGGGTTGGGGCAGCTCCTGTTTGCTGAGGATTCCAGCACACAGGAGCCCTGTGCCCTCACTCCAAGGAGCCCTGGGCTTTAGACATGCCAAGTGGCAGTCAAAAGGGAGTCCAGCTTGTTGCCCGTTTCATTTTTGTGATTTCCATACCTATAGTTATACCTGGGATGTTTTATTTGTGTTTTCTGCATTGAACGACATCTGCCCATACGCAGCCTTTAAAATTAAGGTGCACAGCTGTGCCCCTTTTCAACTGCACATTTATACAATTAAAAAAAAAATTCAGTGCTGTTTTTTGTGATTTGAGCTTTAACACACAGTGCCCAGATGACCAGAGACCCGTGGCTGTTGTGAGAGGGTTTCTCCTTTGGAAATAAGCTAAATACAGCAAAGAGACCAAAAAGAAGTGGAAGTGCAGACAAAGGAAGCTGTAAAATGACTAGTACAGACATCCTCATAACCTTTTTCCCTGGGGCAGTGCCATGGGAATGCTGTAACAGGTGCTTAAATGGAGATTCTAGATAGGCAAACATCTTTAAAGGAAACTTATTAAAGAGCTTTCATCTAAACTAATATTTTTGGTCTTTGAGAGTCCTATGATCTGTAAATCCTTCAGTGACTTCAGCTGTAATAAAACTTAATTTAGAATTTCTGTCTGAACTCCCTGCTCCTCCACAGGAGGTTCTAGGCTGGATGAAACAGGAATGGTGGAAAACGACCTCCTATCATGCAAACACTAGGCTCATTAAATGCTGCCAGCTCAAAGAGCTTGGCTTTGGGAGCAGCCCAGCCTGGGAGACAGCCTGTCTGATCACCTGCTCAGAGAGCAGGAGCCTCTTCTTGGGTAAAGGCAAAAATTCCAGGGAAATGTTTTGTCTGGAGGTCTGTTAAGAAACCTGGTCTTCAGTATATGATTTTACAAAAGAATTAAGCGAATGGGAATCCAGGACAGGTGAAGTTGAGAGAAGCAGGTGGGGTTCCCCCAGAGCACCTTCCCCTCACACAGTTCTGGGAAGGCTCTGGGGGTTTCAGCACCACTGATCCAGTGCCACTCAAAGCAGCAGTGGCAGCACATCCTGGGATATTCACCACCTGTAAAACCTGGGAGCTGTGTGCTGCTGCTGCTGGACCTGGGCTGTGCTCCCTGTCCCTGTGTGTGTCAGTGCCTACAGCTGCTCCATCTCCTCCAGCTGGGCAGAGGCTGGAGCCAGAGGCTGGCTTTGAACCAAAGCTGGGCTTGACCACACACCTGGCTTTTAAATCCTGGTTCACTTCCCTGTTCACTTCTGAAATTGGTCATACCACATGTCTCTGATACCCCAAGGTACCACTTTGATCTGTGATTTGTCAGCTTTTGTTGCCTTCTTGACCATTCCAGCCAGATTTATGCTGGATTAAAGTGGCTGTATAACCGTGGATTTAGGGACGCAACTGCAGCAGAACCTGTTGTTATTTTGGTGCTTTAAGAGATCTGCTGGCAAGCTGTTTAATTTCCTGACTGCTCTGTGAGGAACTGAGGAGTCCTGCTGCTCAGCCTTGCTTTTCCCTTCTGGGTACCAGGGAGATGCACTGCAGCAGGCACTGTATGTGCCTGCATATTTTTGTTTTTCCATTGCTCACAGCCTGGCATGTCAGCTGTGTCTGAGCCCTTGGAGGATCTCTGCCTTAAACAATCCTGCTCGTGTCTTTTACAGCTGTTACTGAATATATTGCGTAAAAATGGTCACTCCAGGTTATCTTGGTTAATCCATAAACACTGCAATACGCTGCCTCCATGCAGTGTATTTTATTTTCAATTACTCTGGGGTTGCAGCTCTAGTGGTGGTTTTTAACATTCTTTCTAGGCTTTTTTGTCTTTTAAACAATTCCAGGTGGCAGAGGAGGACAGAGCACTTCCCTGAGTGTTCCCATGATCCAAAAGTGAGGGGCACGACCCTGTGGCAGCGTGCCAGGTTTCCTTCCTGGGTGCAGGAGACAGCAGGAGCTACAGTCAGAATTTGGGAGGAGAGATCCCCTCCTGGGCGTGCCTGCAGTCCTTGGGCTCTGAGAGTTCAGTAGCTAAACGTGAGGAGTTCCCTTCCCATGGCCATCTAATGAACAGCTTCCTAATGTTCACTAAAACCCTCCTTCCCTCATTCTGCAGGTTTGGCTTAATTGCAGGAAACTTGGCTTCCTGTTTCTCCCTGTCCTGGGGGCTGCTCTGTTGGATAATGTGATAATGGAACTGTGTTAGTATTAAAGCTGTTTTTAAATAAGACTTTGGGAGCTTCACAGAACATGGGAGGGTGAAGTTAAACCTCAGCTCCTGGGATTTGAGTGCCTGGAAATGGCAAAGAGAAAAAGGAGGGGAGGAGCAGTGAGAACAAACTGCTTGTGTTTCACCTGACCTGGGATCAAAGGAACTTGTGCAGATTTTCAGTGCTGTTAGGTCAGCAGAAAAGTGTCTGTTTGTGTCTGTTGGTGGAAAGAACAACTAAAGGTTATGTCAGGACCGTGGCTCAATTCCTTAAGTGTCTGGGGCGCATTTTCTGACTCTGAAGTGGAGTGTAAGGGTGTTTCTTTGTGTCAGAATTGGTGTGAGACCAGCTACAGTGAGCCCTTTGGAGAAAGCTGCTGTGTTAGCTCTAAATAACTGATGTCCCTTGTCGGAATCTGTGGGTATTGATGATTCCAAGATTGTAGAAATCTGTCTTTAAGCCCCACTGCCAAAGAAGAAGCCATAATTGGTCTGTGCTGGTTTCAAGGTTGTTTATTCTGTTTATCTCTAACATGTTCTGCTGCCCTGCCGCAGCTCTGTCCTGCAGGGCAGCGTGTGGGGCTCTGCCCTCAGTGGGATGGTACAAACATTAAATACCACAAACTACCTGTGCTGGATTTACAATAACGTGCCAATATCTGTCACCTACGTTGGACAGTGTGTCCCCAGCCTGAACCAACAGAAAAATGCCAACACTACAGTGAAACATGGAGGGCATGAAGAAGGAGAAAAAGGACAAGGCACACCCAATTTCCTCCATCTTGTCCCCTTTGAACCCCTAATCTAGAGTCCTAAAATTTTACTTTTGCACCCGTGCCACACTTAATTATTACTTATATCAAACACTCAGAGCTGGTAATTCATCCTGTAAGATTGAAAACTCTTTTCCATGGACAGAGATCACAGCCAGTGTCTCTGGGGGCTCTGTCCAGGGGGGTTCCTGACCCCTGCCAGGGTCCCAGACCTGCCAGGGCAGCCAGAGGGAAGCTCTGGATTCCCACAGTCCCTCATTTCTTAGAGGCAGTTCTTGAGGTGTGTTTTGTAGGAAGAGGGAAATCATGGATCATGCTTTATGTGCATGTTTCATTCTGGTTTTCTGATAAAGCTGCAGGGGAGAGGGAGCTCTGTAGGAGAACAGAGTTTGTCTTGGATGCTGGTTATCTCAAGCTGATCAGTGCAAGTGAGGAAATGTTAAACCTGCTTTGGGAGAAGCAACTTTCAGTTCCCTAACCCAGGATAGTGTGGAAAAACAACACCTACAGAAACATTGGAAGGAGTTTTGGTGAGGTAGAGGCTGGACTCCTTTCTATCAGCAGCACGGTGTTAAGTTGCCAAGTCAATAATCCACAATGAAATGGAATGAGTTTTACTTGTATTAATGCAAAGCATGCTGCTGCTGGGAGCTGTGTGCTGTGTTTGCTGTCCACCTTGTGACCAGGACTCTTCTTGTTCCTGCAGAGTGACCAGCAGCTGGATTGTGCCTTGGATTTGATGAGGCGCCTGCCTCCGCAGCAGATCGAGAAGAATCTCAGTGACCTCATTGACTTGGTGAGTACTGCATGCTGTCCCCAGGAAGTGCCTGCTGACAAAGGCCTGGTGTGGGGGAACTTCTTCTGGGGCATCTGGAAGGTCTGGTGATTTGTCTGTCCCTCTGTCTTTGGGCAAGGTTGAACAAACAACCATTGGGCAAGCAATGTCAGGAATCCAGTGATTGTTTTGGGCTGTGTGTGCAGGGACACTCAGTGAGTGTGAACACTCATTAGAGCTCTCCTAATGAACCACACCAGGTGCCAGCTTGGAGGCTGCTGTTGGAATTTGGGCAGGCCCTGGCACCTGGGTATTACCTCCTCACAAACAACCTGCTGTGTAAAACTCTGGGAGTGCAGTGCCTGTGCTGCCCCACACGCTGCAAAGACACTGCTGAGAATGTCTGGGCATCTGGAGAACACCCAAATCTATTTATAATTTGTGCTCTCTCAGATGTTCTGCAGTCTAGTGTCAAAAACCAAACCTGGCTGACCATCTTGTGTCTGATATCTTTTTTTCTGCTTGTCCATGGAACTTTTGTGTCCTTTACACACTGCTGGGGAGGAAAACTGACATAAGAAGGATTTCTAGGCTTGTTACAAGTTGCACATTCTGTGATGCATGTCTGGGCTGTAATAACCTGGTCAGTATCAACTGTCCCTTAAAAGAGTGTGAGGCACAGTTGCCTCTGGAGTAGCTGAAGGTGTTACTGAAATATGGATTTAATCTGTACAGAGTCTGCTGGTGGGAAAACTGGATTCTATTGTCCACTCTAAATACCTGGCTTATTTGTGCAGAAGAGCAGCTGCTCACCAGGTAGAGGTTTGGTTGGGAAGTGCTTCTAAAGCTGGTGTTGATAAGCTATGGTCAAAAAGTTGTGGCTGACTTAAATTTATCAAACTCTAAACATTTCTTTTACTTATATAAGCCAAGGTACAGGTAAGACCTCTGGGGATCAGGTAAGAAATTATTCCCTGCAGGAAAGGATTATTTCTCTCTCTTGAAACCATTTAATAATTGGCTACATCTGTGCCCCCAAAACCCTTGGCAGCCTAAAGCATTGTTTTTGTGGCTGTTGCTGGAGGTAGGACACAAGTAACTAAATCACTGATCTGATCTGGTGTGACATGGTTGGTTTTGTGATGAAATTGGGAGGACTGAGTGGCTACCAGGGTTTGAGCAGCTCCCAGGACCACTCAAAACAAGGAGTTGTTTGGTCAGCCATGGTAAGCTTGACTGTGTAATTGGTCTGAGATTTTTTTTAATGACTCAGAAAATTGCTGGGTACCTCTAAATGCTGGAATTACTTTTGGATGGTGCTCATTAGTGCTCTACATGCTTTCCATCAGCAACACGCTCCCTGGGCTCCTTTTCATAGTGTAACATGAACCAGACCAGTTTGGTGCCTGTTGGGAGGAGGGTCTGTGTCCCCCACACGAGGCATTGCAGCCCCTCCTCTGGGGCAGAGATGAAATAATTTGTTAAATCCAGCACGATTCCTTTATTGTGGTGACACCTGTAGACCTGCTCTGCAGCCACTCTCCCCGAGCTCCTGGAGTCTGCACTGGTTAGACAAGATCAATGTGTGCTCTGCCACCTGTGATAGGTCCAGAGACATCATGAGCCAGACTTGAGCAAATAGATTTTTGACCTTTTTTTGGCAAATTTCATCCCGACCTTTACATCTGTCGTTTTGATTCTGCTGCTTGTACCATTAGCAGACAAAAACCTCCTTGAGAAAAAGGGCAGACTCCAAATGCACAGTGAGCATGAGCATGTTCCTTAAACTGAGGGAAAGAGCTGTAAAACATGGCACCCTGACTTCTTGCCTTCCTTGTGCTGGGTTTCCTTGCTCAGTCCACTACCACAGTGGAGGAGGTGTGAGGCTCATGTCAATATTTGGGGTGAAGTTTAGAGTATTACTTGAAGTCTGTTTGCAGCTCAGTGTGCCATGTTTTTTTATATGATTTAATCTCCAGACCAATGGTGGTTGCTTGCTAAAGATCCACTGAAAGGACAGAAGATGGCTCAGAAATGTCATTGTATGTAAAGAGTTTTCCAAAAGGAACACAGTAAGGAACAGGCATCTCCTTCCCAGAGTCCTGAATGGTTTGTGTGGGGAGGGACCTTAAAGCTCATCCAGTCCCATCCCCTGCCACGGGGCAGGGACACCTTCTGTGAGACCACCTCACTCCCAGCCCTGTCCAGCCTGGCCTTGGACACTTCCAGGGATCCAGGGGCAGCCACAGCTTCTCTGGGCAGCCTGTGCCAGACCCTCACAGGAAGGAGTTTATTCCCAGTATCCCATCTAACCCTGCCCTCTGGCAGTTTAAAATCACTCCTATCCATCCTGCTGGGAAGGATAACCACACTAAGTTCCCTCTTACTCTATCCATGTTCTGCTGCTTGTGGCTCATAAAAGAGCATCTTGGTACCCAACTGAATCCATGGAGTATGTCCAGCACTGTCCATGACTGCCCCCAAGTGTTGTGCTGACAAGGGAAATGGCCCAAACTTGAACAGAAGTAAAAGTGTGGGTGGAAGAAGAGAATTTTTGGGTCACTGGCCCTCATCAGCCCAGACACTTTTCATTCATTAGCAAAACAGTTTGTGGTTTGCCCTTTCACCACATCTGTTGTTGGGTTTTTCAGACTGTTGAGGCTTCAATTAGAGTTCATTAGAGACCTTGTCAATCACAGCCCTGCGGAAGTCCTGCCTGAAAGAAGCTGTGCGTGGTGCTGGAATTGGGCTTTAGCATGGAATGCTCTGCTAGGGGTTCAGTTAGTCATTGTGTGTAAATACACTGCTCAGAATGTGCAAGAGGACTTCTGATTCTCTACAGAACGAGTTTGCTGGAGGCACATACCTTTTTAAGGACAACTAATTTAAATTGGAATAGTTTTCCATAGAGTTCCTCTGGAAACTGTGAGTCTTGGAACATCGACCAGTGAGCCAAGTCCAAGCTGAAAGGAAGTTGCCAAAAGAGGAGAAAGGTGATTGCACTGCTCTTAAATGGGTTTGTTGTGAGGATGCTCCACGTCAAAGGCTGACTTGATGAACTTCAAGGTCTTGTCCAACCTAAATGATTCTTTGTGTAGTGACAGCACTTGGAGCATTAGTTCAGATGCTGTGTGCGTGTGTCACAAAAAAGCTGTGTCACCTCCTTATTGCCTCACAGTGTCCAGGAGCTGCTGATTCACTGTGCTTCCCAGGGAGCCCTGCTGTGAATCACCTCTGTTCTCATCACCTGCTGGAAAGGGGACTGTGAGGGTGTTTTCTGCTTGGAAATGTGTCCAGCAATCAGCTGAGTGGGGTTTTGTGTGGCTGTGAAGTCACACTGAGTGTCAGCTCACCCTGAAAGGTCAGAACAACCCATGGCAATTGGTCTCCTGCCTCCTTTCTCTGAAGGTCAGCTGTACAGAAAGTCAGTCCTCTGTGCTTTTAGCTGTGCTCTTCCCAGGAGAAATCCCAAAGAAGGATCAGCCTCTAGGCAGTGCTGCCGTGGAGGGTCCCTTCCTAGGACATTTGGCAGCACAGGACGAGGTGGGTGAATGGTGTCTAGGGCTGCAGCCTCCAGAGTCCTTTTGGGGTATTTTCTTCAGACAGCTTCATTGATGTGTCTTTGAGGGCTGAGGTGGCAAAGGGGGAAGGAAACTGGATTTATTGTCCTCGTGGGCCATGTGCAGCAAATAACAGATCTGTGACAGGATTGCCTTGATGGCTTCAACTTGAGTGTGGAAGTTGATGCACTCTTAGTCCTGGTGCAAGTTAAGCAGGTTCCTTTAGCAAGTACAAATTTCCTGCTGAGTGTTTAATTTGGATGTTTGCCTGGGTGTGTATAATACAAATTAGATGAAAAATCTAGCTGACTCAGGTAAATCAGATGCCTGGCATGAAGTGGGGACAGAAAATGGTCCTCACAGAATGGACAGGCTTGCCAGGAGAGGAGGGAGCTCACAGCCACAGCTTTCTCCCTCTCCCAGTGAGCCTGTATTGAAACAGCAATCATTCCCAAAAGTGAAAGCTTTCTTGAAGAACAGAACCAGGTAATGCTGCCATTGAAGAATTAAAGTGAGAGTTCTTTACAGACACAGCAGTCATAACTTTGCTGGTTATTTTTTAAGGCACTGTTTGCAATTAAAGATCTGGGAGGTGATCAGCTCTCCTTTCTCATCACAGGGGAATACTGAAGTATTTTTAGAAGATTGTGTTACTTTTTAGAAAATCATGGAGTGATGAATCTTAAAATATATAAACTTCTGATTCTGAAATATTTAAACACCATTCAGGCTGTTGCTTCGTGCAAGCTCCAGGCAAGTCCCAAATCTGCTTGCATGCCTTCAGTTACTGAAGATATATGAAGCTACAGAATTTACCCCCAGGCAAACTGCACTGCTTGGGCTGCACAGACCATAAAGAACACGAGAATGTGACTGGAGCTTTTTGTGTTTGGAGTCCAAGAGCCTGAGCACTGTGCGGCATTGCGGGGAGAGATAAAATAATTGGATGCAGATGGCCAGCTGAGCGTCTGGTGAGGCTGGAAGATGTTTTAAACAAAAAATCAGATCCAGTGAAAGCTGAAAAAGAGGTGGTGGAAGCAGAAGTGCTTTGACAGCCCTGTGGGCTCAAAGCTGAGTCTTTGACCTCCTGTTCTGCCTGGACTTGCTGACCTGTGGGATGAGCTCCCAGCAGCCAGGCAGGTTTCTAGTACAAGGATTGTTGGCTAAAGAAAGGGGCTCTGGCTCTCTGAATAAATTTATGGTGGTTGAGAGCCAGTTTTTCCATTTGGTGAGTGGCTGTAAGCAGGAGCTTTTCCAGCCAGCAAAGATTACCTCTGAATATCTTGATGGTAGTTGGAGATAGCAATTAATATATGTAAACTGTTAATGTGATCCTTGGCTTAGAGCTAGCAACCCCACTTCCTGGCATGAGATTGGAAAAGGGAATTTCAATTCTGGCCTTATGTCACTTATTCTTCCTATTTTTAAGCTTTTTTGTCTTCCAGGTTCCTGCCACTGCAC